AGCACCAGAAAATTAAACGTTTGGTTGCTGTGAGTATGTTATTTTTGCTTGGCTATTTTTATATAAAAACAAATTTTCAATTCAGTCACTTTTAACGAATTTGCATTCTTGTACAATTTAATTACCTAGCAAATCTAATCGCATAAGGAATTTTCTCACGTAACCATTTGAATGTATTACTGGTTATGCTGAATATATTGTCTTTTTTAACATATCGATTGCTGCCTAAATTTGGCTATTTGGGTTATCTCAGCCCGATTTTATTCAGTGCACCTATGCTTCCTGTGCACCAGTGCGTTTCACGCATAAACGAATTTATGGTTTACGAGTGCACTCAAAACATTCAGCTTCTCAACCTTATCCACACTGGCAAAATCTTTATGCTCATTACTGAAAAGGTGCGCAGATCCGAGCGTCTGAAAAATCTTTTCCATTCTCTCCTAGGACTGGAATGTTGTTGGAGAGTTCTTTCAGTCGTCACTCAAATTAGCTCCACCTGACATATACTTTGGAATGTACTAATTCAACTGTCTTGGTCGAAATATTTTTATGGGGCAGTTGACAGTAACCGAGTTTCATCCTTTACTCTCTTACAAGCAATGGAGATAATTTAATTTGGATTTGCAGCAGTTCTGCGCAAGCTTTAACTTATAGTAATGATTCAGTCTCCAAGTAGATAATTTATATTAATGGTTGCGATGTAACTTAATTATCAACCACATGAATTTCATTAAGCGGCTGCACAACGAAATTGGTTATTAGTATTGTTCTACTATATCGTTAATCTCTAGTCAGATGCATAATAACGTAGACTTACAAAAATGCTTAACACTGTAAGGCATGTTCTTAATTTGTTTCAAATAGTCAGCGATTTAATTATTTTAATTAATCGAGTATTAAGGGGAAGAACCCGCTAGTTTTATAAGAAAAATTATTGTAAGGTGACTAAAAATAGGAATAAATTACGAAGCGTGCCACCTTAACTATACTATTTCAGTGGTCCCTGGTTACGCCTAATCTGGTCGATAACCACTGAAAATGTAGAGAAATAATTAAAAATTTGTTATTTGCTAATCACATTATCTATAATAGTGGAACTTGTTTGTTTATTGAGTCTTTGAAAGTCATTATTGATTGTATGATTAAAATAGTCACTTTTGAAGGGAATAGTGAAAATTAAACTTAGATTCTATATATTTAGAGGGGTTGAATGCAGTTAAATATTGGGAAGTTATAAATAGAACGTGTATCATGATAGTAACGGGGTAAAAAGAGATTTACAAAGGAAAAATGTAAAGACGTTTATACAAATTGAGTTCATTATAAACCTAACAACTGAATAGAATTACTATATATTCCCCGTAATTTTACTAGTATGCTCACATCTTACAACTAATATTATGTTAACAGAAAGATTGAGCGAAGAAATATTTACTTTTCAATTAGATCCTCATCTCTGGCTCTACTCTAATATATATATATATATATATATATATATATATATATATATATATATATATAGCATTTTTATTACAATACACAATAATTTACCAATCAAGGGGTGATATGTTTGTTAACAATAATTAGTCAGTATCACCATGTCAAGGCGATGGGTGATAATTAACGAAGAAAATTAATACATACAATTAAAACGTAGAAATGATTATAACACGTGGATTGCATAATGCACAATGGGGATTTTTTCAATATTATGTTAATCAAATTGGTCACCCAAGTGGTTCTGATTGTTAAAAATAGCGGTATGAATCCGTTTGAGTGTTAGCTTAATAATAAGTTGTATTTCTAGCACTAGGAATGGCTTAAATTATTTTAAATTAATAGTACCCAAGTTTTATTTCAGTATACAATTACTTAGAAAGTTTTCTGCAAGTGAATTTAGGGATCTATTTGTCTGTTGTGTAATAAAGCTTTATTTATTTACCCTATAAAGGGTATCTCCTCCTTAGCGGTTTTCTCCTTTTAGATCATTAAATAGGTTTAATGTCGAATACAATAAATAAAGTTTCACTGAAATTCTTTCCTATTTTTTAGAAACGTTACCAAACCAACTGTATGCATATCAAATTGATCATCAATGGTATTTGGTGATGTTTTACCGTTACCTCCATGTACAGAACCATATGCATTCCAGGTGGCTGGTCATTCCAGAGAGAATTCACATAAATTTGAAAGTAAGTTACCTCATATTTATTATTCATAAATATGAATTATTTCATCAATCCTTATTGGTTAGTAATTATGATATTTGTGACATACTATGTGTAGTGTGATAACGACTCTCGAGCTAATGATTTGATTTATCTGTCTGACCCCACGGAAGGAGTCGTGAGGCACCAACATATTACCAATCTAGCATAACTATCCTTCATCGTACGGATCCACGTCATAGGCGCGTGACTTGTACTTGTTTGACATAATAGTTATCAGTATAAAGTTATTATTATTATGAAAATAGGTCGGTCGGTCGGTTTTTGACATAGAACTTTGCACATATGTGCGGCAGTTCAAGTCGCCACAATCTATGCAGCACGCAAAGCAAGAGAAGAAAGTAGAAGAAATGCATAATATAGACAGTAAACAGAGGTGTGAGACAAAGGAATAGTAATAACGGAGAACAAAACAGTTTAATTGGAAATCATAAGTTACAAGGAGTGGATGCATCTGCGCCACTGAGAACGATTTTGAGCTAGCCATTGGTTTTTACCATCCCGAGGACCCCAGCCAGGAACTCTACATCTTCCTACGTGGCTTAGACTAACTGTTGTAGATTTCATTGACTGGTGCCATGTTTTCGTTTGACCGCCGCTAGCTCTTTTTCAACCTGACCCTATATCAGCTAACATTGCCCGTCGAGGAAGGCGATGACTAGGCATACGTAGCACATGTCCTAACCAACTCAGTCGAAGTAATTTCACAGTTTCGTCGATTGATTTCCCCGCCTTACCTAGCACTCGACCCATGCCTCACCTCAATATTCCTCACCCTACTATACTACTTCACGCGGGAGATAGAACGCAGACACCTATGATCGAAGACAGCTAATCTTTTCATGTCTTCTGCTCTCAATGGCCAGGTCTCACAGCCATAAAGGAGGACGGAGCGGACTGTTGAGCAGTACACACGCCCTTTGGTCGATAGTCGGATATCACGTCTACGTCTACAATCCGAAATGAAAATAGGTGGTTTGATTGTTACTAATAATTTTTAATGTATCACTAGAAGACATTTGCTGTTTTCAACACCTACATTTAGGCTCCTATCATGCATTTGTTTATATTAGTTTTGTTGGAAGATACGAACAGGCTAGCTGTATTTGATCAAATGTGCCTGCGTTCTATCTCCCGTGTTAAGTGGTATAATAAGGTGAGCAATATTGAGGTTAGGCGTCGAGTGCTAGGTGAGAAGGGATAATCAATGGAACTAGGTTGTGAAAATACGCCGATTAAGATGGTTAGGACATGTATTACGCATGCATCCCTAGTCATCGATCGCCTTCCTCGACTGGAAATGTTAGCTGACATAGGGTCAGGCTGGAAAAGAGTTAGCCAGTGGTGGTCAAATGAAAACACTGCTTCATCAGTTAATGAAATCTACAGCAGTTAGTGTATGCCACCCAGTCAGTCACGCAGGGAGGTGTAGACTTCCTGACTGGTTGGGGCCCTCGAGATGGTAAAAACCAATGAGGGTTGCAGACAATTGGTGATGTGGACCAAAATCGTTCTCAAAGGCGTATATGCATTAACTCTTCGGGATTCATCGTATCCAATGAAGATCTATTGTTCTTCCATATTGCTATTTTGCCTCATATTTCTATTTGCTCAAGAATTAGTATGACTAATAGTAATCAGTTGATTCAGAGGGATTTATTTTAATCCGATTAATCTTCATATGGCTTTGCTGTCTAATTAGAGTTAAAGAAAAAAACAAAAGCCAAATCAATCTCAGAATTTGGTAAGAATCCATTGGTCGGATTTTCTTTCTTTACAAACTATAAGATAGCGCAATTAGTAGTATATGATACTTGCTATGTTTCTCTATCAGAGGACGAAATTAGACTCTACTGACTAAGTGGTTGTTCGTTAATTTTTTTTTTTTTACTAAAAACGAATATTCGAACTCTTCAATGTGCAAAGAATGAGAGTAATCAGAATTATTTGTTCATTATGTCTGTGTCCAAATATTTTTTTGTGAAAAAATTGATAAAATTGATTCTTTACTATCGATCCCTTCAGTGCGAGACACAGTTTGTTTGTTTTCGGAGAATAAGAGTGAAATGGTTGAGTGTTTTAATCATTGAACTTGTTCATAAAGTTATTTTGTGACTGGTGAACTGATGGTTCACACTATTTCTAAGCAAATAAAAATGGTTGTTTGACCTCAGTCAACCTACATTATCCACAATCCAGACAAGATATACAATCAACATGGTCACACGCTCACAAAATCTGGAGTTTTCTGAATTTGTTAAGCAAAATTCTGGGTATATTTAGCATGTGGTCCGCCCCTATCAGATATAAGGCGATGCTATCTAACTTGCAGTTGTAACGGATTGCTTGCTGACAAGATCTTACCGCATATACAAAAGACTTGATAAACTACAGCACTTTATCTGTTGGTGCATTAAAAATATGTGTTCTGTTTGCTTCATCATAATTTGGACTATGAGACGTGGTCACCAAAACTAGGAGTTATAAGATTAAAAATGCCCATTAAAATTTTTCAAAAGAATGGATACTGAACGAAGAGTACTCTTTTCGATAACTTCATCATCAGGCTCTACAGTTATATATACATTATAGTGAATGAATGAATGAATTAGTGTTATGAACAACATTAGTGCTGTTTAAATAACATCGAATCAATAATATTGATAAATTACAGCTCAATAGCATCAGCATAAAATAAGCTGAATGTCAGAAGAATTAGGAAAGATAATATTACAAATCCATGAGTTTATAGTTTCTACTGAAGGCCGGTCAGGGCAGTAGTAGGGGCTGGACGTGGTTCTTTTGAACATGGAGCACTGGTTGTTTGAGACGAATTGCAATAGCCTCTGGTGTTTGGAGCATGCGGTGCTTCGATGATTTTACCAATTTATTAGGCACCCTGTAGATGATAGAGAAGGTTTCTTCCACGCTGGCTTTGTGGCCGGTTTTCACCAGATGGTCCAATATCAAACTGTTAATGGTTTTCACTACACTTAGCCATAGTGTAGTTATCGAGCACGAAAAATCAAGTTCGTATAGCAACGGCAAATATAACTCGCTCCACCACAAGCGCAGTTGAATTGGTAGATACAATTTGAAGTGGCTAATCTAGGTACTTCATCTTTCAATCGAGGAATCACCACCATCGGTCGTGTAGAGAATAAGACGTGTAGTTCGCCAGAGCATTAAAAGTTCTTTGAACTGATTTTCTTAATTTCTTCGTAATTATCTCACTTGGTATATCGCCCTTGAATTGCAGTCGTATATAAAGTGGCTTCTCGTTTACAGATAGTGAGTAGTCCTTTTCCACTTTACTTGTCATGTGTTTCTTGATTAATTTGTCGGGATAGCTATTATCAATCAAAGTATCATATACAATGCTTAATTCATCTTTAATTACTTCTTCTGAGCATATAGCTCTAACTCTGTGGCTGAGGGTCTTCACTTCAGTTTATTGTTATGTTGATGCTATTGAGCTGTAATCTATCAGTATTATTGATTCGATTTTATTTAAACAGCAACGTTAACGTTGTTCATAACACTAATTCATTCATTCACTATAATGTATATATAACTGTAGAGGCTGATGAAGAACAGGTTATCGGAAAGAGTATTCTTTATTCAGTATCCATTCTTTTGAAAAATTATGAGATTATAGGACTTCGATAACTGATTCATCATTAAATCGATCAGTAGTAGTTAGAGAAAAGTTTCAGTTAATGTTGAGTTCAACTGCCACCGCGATGGTGAGCCATTTAGTATGATGGCCACATTTTAAACTTGACTGTGATAGAATTAAGTCTGCACCAACACCAAAGATTAGACATCATTATTACTATTATTTTTATTGCTTCACGTTCCCAGTGGAACATAGGGCTTCAAGCTAGAAGCTTGAAGCTTCGGTAGCAGTGATATTTATTTTTACAGGGTGGGGTCGCTAGCCTCATGCCAAACCTTCCCTCTTTACCAGTCTAATTACTGGCTTAGCGAGGTAAAGGGGTGCGTTGGCGCCCGGAGATCGAACCCCGAACCACCTTCGTGGTTGGTAAGCATTCTACCACTGTGCCAGTGACGCACATTATTAGACATTATTTACTGACTACCTTGTGTCCAATCAAAGTATCCATTTCAGTTTTACAGAAGGTGAATTGCTAGTCCGAGTAGCTCAGTGGTAACGTCTCTGACTGCAGCACTGGGCGATGACACTGGTGTGAATTTCGTTAGTTCCTTCAAGATTGAAAATACGTCTTGCAGACTGATGAGCGCCAACAAGCAGGGAACCTAGGTCTTTAAGTATGGTATGTGTTTTGCGCCGTGTAATTGCAAATTACTGTTACAAGATTAGTAGGAGCCTGTACTTGCACTCACTCTGGCGGGTGAACCGCTTGAATTTGTCGATAAGTTTGTGTATTTGGGTAGTTGTGTGAGTACTGGCGGAAGTGTGACAAACGAGATTTTCAACCGCTAGGGTGGCGTACGTTGACTTGAGCCACCTCTGGCGACATTTCGACGGTAGCCTGACTGTCAAAGGTTGAGTTTACAGTGCTTTTGTGCGGGCTGTCGTGCTCTGCACCTGTGAAACCTGGCCTCCCCAAAGTTAGGATGTGCGGTAACTCTGCTTATTCGATCATTGCTTTCTCCGCAGGGTTGCTTGCGTTCGATGGCATCATCGTGTGAGTAATTTTAAGGTCCAGCGGCCTGTGTCTGGACACAGTGGAGATCACCATTCGTTGATTGTTGTCATCCGGAAACACTGGCTCCAGTGGCTTGGACATGTGTTACGAATGTCATCCCAGAGGTTTCCGCACCGGTCTATGTTTGCTAGCCTTGGGATGCGATGGGAAAAGGAGAGGTGGTTAGCCCATAATGTTAAGTTGTGAGATAAAAGATATTTGTGTTAGGTTAGCATCGGTTGGGGCGTCACAACTCCCTGGTTGGTGACTCGAAAATGTATCGGATGACAT